CGCTGTTTTACTCTGTGCACCTTTTGCAGGGGTGTAAAAATAAAGTACTCACAAATAATACTCGAGTGCAGATACTAATAAATAAATTAAACTTTCAAGTCCAAGTATTTGGTCGAAAATAAACTTGAGTAAATGTAAAGAATATTTAAGTTTTAAATCGTACATAGGTGTTATAATACCATTAACTCTTGGAAATAAATTCCATGTAATGAAATTCTTTCATTATTACACACAATCATCTTCTTCTGCAGACTAAAATAAATATCATATATTACTAGTAAAGTAAAACTATTTGTTTAACTAAGAAAAGTATGATTGCTAAAACCTTTAGATACAAATACTGCCATTTTTTATTGTCATCCCCAAAACAATGCTTAAAATGACGCTTACCATGTGACCTGCTGAAACTCATTCATTCATTGTCTTTAGTCCCTTTATTAATCTGGGGTCGCCACAGCGGAATAAACTACTGTACCAATTTATCCAGCATATGTTTTACGCAGCAGATGCACTTCCAGCTGCAACCCATCTCTGGGAAACATCCATACACACTCATTCACATACATATTATCATACACTACAGACAATTTAGCCCACCCAATTCACCTGTACCACATGTCTTTGGGCTGTGGGAGAAACCGGAGCACACAGAGGAAACCCACGCGAACGCAGGGAGAACATGCAAACTCCACACAAAAATGCCATCTGACCCAGCCGAAGCTCAAACCAGTCACCCTCATGCTCTGAGGCGACAGTACTATCTACTGCGCGTCGCATATTGGTATTATGTAATCTAAAAATGAATATAAAAATTGAATGCAAAATGTCAAATTCATGCGAAATGACAAAACATTTATTTTAAATTTGTATTATCAGTACTTAATAATAAGTACAGTAATAAAAAAAGTGTCGCCACAATAGCCTAGTGGTTAGCGCGCCGACATATGGTGCAATAGCACGTCAGGGCATCTTGAGTTCAAATCGAGACTCGAGGACAATTCTCTATAAGAAGAAAATAGGGCAGCACGGTGACTCAGTGGTTAGCACTGTCACCTCACAGCAAGGTCTCTGGTTCGAGTCCCGACTGGGCCAGTTGGCATTTCTGTGTGGAGTTTGCATGTTTTCCCCGTGTTGGTGTGGGTTTCGTCCAGATGCTCCAGTTTTCCCCACAGTCCAAAGACGTGCGCTATGTAGGTGAATTGAATAAAAAAAAAAAAATTTTTCATAGTGTGTGTGTGTGTGTGTGTGAGAGAGAACGTGAGAGTGTATGGGTGTTTCCCACTACTGGGCTGCAGCTGGAAAGGCATCTACTCAATAAAACAAATTCCAGAACAGTTGGCGGTTTATTCCGCTGTTCATTGCCTGATAATAAAAGGACTAAGCCGAAGGAAAATGAATGAATGAATGAATGAATGAATGAATGAATGAATGAATAAAGAAAATAGAAAAATGTAAGTAGTACTGTTTAAAAAGTAATAGTTTTTTTTATTTAAATAAAATTATTTAAACTAAATAATAGTTTTTCCTAAGAAAACTACTAAAGTGAAAGTATAAGTAGTCAGTTTGAATTCTAATTGAGTAAAGTACAAATTTCCTCAAAACAATGCTTAAAATGACTTCTCTGACCATGTGACCTGCTGAACCTGAATAGCAAAAATAATAATTATTTTAAAAAGGTGTTGATAAAATATCAAAGCGAGATATTTTGAGCGATTGGCTTTTAATATAGACCACTAAAATGGCTCCTCATTAGTTAGACCTCATCTGTATTCATGCAAAATTCAGGTCAGTAGACTCTATAGCGCAGAGTTAGTTCAGAGAGCACAGGGATCATGGGAGCAGTTGCCCATATCAAAGTCAAACAAACAAGTCGGGAGACAGCAAACACTGGCCATGACAACAAGACATCAGCAGTAGCATGTTTACTTTGTCAATACATAGAGCTGCGTAGAAAAAAAGGGCAATCTACAAGTTAAAAACAGAAAAACAGCATCTGTTTTAGATCAGGAATTTTCAGATTCGTTGAAACCAAAAACATGCAAATATAATGTTCAACAAAGACTCATAATTAGAACCTGTCCAAAAAATACACATGTTTGACAGCAGTTTCAGGGGCAGCACAGTGGCTCAGTGGTTAGCACAGCAAGAAGGTCGCTGGTTCGAGTCCTGGCTGGGCCAGTTGGCATTTCTGCGTTGAGTTTACATGTTCTTCAATTCACCTATACGCCATGTCTTTGGACTGTGGGGGAAACCAGTACACCCAGAAGAAACCCATATGAACACGGGCAGAACATGCAAACTCCACACAGAAACTGGGCCAGACGGGACTTGAACCTTGTTGCTGTGAGGTGACCACCGATCCAGCATGTCGCCGCAACTGAACATTCATCCATTCATTTTTGGCGTAGTCTCTTTATTAATCTAAGGTCGCCACAGCGGAATGACCCGCCAACTTATCCAGCACATTTTTACGCAGCGGATGCCCTTTCAGCCGCAGCCCATCACTGGGAAACATTTACACTCATTCACACACATACACTACGGACAATTGAGCTTACCCAATGCACCCCTTATGTCTTTGGACTGTGTGGGAACATGGAGCACCCAGAGGAAACTCACGCAAACATGAGAACATGCAAACTCCACACAGAAATGCCAACTGACCTAGCCGAGGCTCGAACCAGCGACCTTCTTGCCGCAACTGAACATAAAAAGTTTTATATATCAGAAACATTATCATGTAAGGGCAACTTGAAATATTGTCCTGATGCGGGGGACACAGGAAACATCTATATGTACACTACAAAAAAAATTGCTTTTGCAGTTTGTTCAAACTACTTTTCTCAACCCAAGCTCATTCTGGAAACGTAGCCCCGCGGACGTTTCTGGAGACCGCGATTTACGTGGCCGGAGGTACGTAAAGGCCGCGTTTGTTTTTTTTCAAGCGAACGCTGCGGGGCGGTGTGGCGCTGCTCCGCCCCTCCTCTTCGCACTCGCCGGCCAACGGCTCGCCTCCGAGTGGAGGGCTTTCCCGATGCAATCAGTTTGTCCGCTTAGCTCACGGCGGAGCGGAGGCCCCGGAGGAGGAGGAGGACCCGGAGCCGGCCGCGGTTGACGACGACCGGGATCGAGTCCGGGGAACAGCAGGTTCCGGAAATCAGGTAAGACGAAAAACGGAATCCGAAAAATAAGGGCGAGAACGCATCGGGATCCGAAAACGCGGTCGAAATCGAAGAAGAGGGCTTTTGCTTTTTTTTTTTTCGATCCGGCGGCTTTTCGTGCGAGAACGGCGCGGGCGCGAACGCCGCGCACTCCCGAGAGGCGCCCGAGACGCGAAAAAGCGCGCACAGCGGCCTCTCGCGGATACGCAAAAACAAAAAACCACTCGAATACGTACCTCCCGAGACATAAATCGCGTTCCGCAGAAACGTCCGCGGGGCTACGTTTCCACAATGAGCCCGGGTTGACTTTTCTAAAATAAGTTGAAACAACACAATTCCTTTTTTTTTTGGACAATTTAATTGTTCTATGTTCAATTTACTTTTACATTTTTACTTTTACATTTGTAAAAACAATTAAGTTAAAGGTGCAGTGTGTGATCAGCCAAAATGCTAACCGGTTAGCATAATATCTTTGAAACAAAATCCAAAGCCATGCCCCCAAAACACGAACGTGCGCACCTTAAAGATGACAGCAGACAACCCATTAGTCCATGTCATTCGCCAGTTAGAAATATAGTTAGTGGTTGGCCGGCGGGGTGCAGGATTTACACTTATTACTAAGCCACGCTTACATGCTATTTCAGACTGAATATTCAGAGTAGCGGTAAACAATATCGGGAGCACGTCATAGGCTGTATTTGTTCAGAAATGAACCAAAATAAATGTAAAAGCAACTTCACCTCAGCAAAGCCAGCCTGATCTCACGAGAAAACGTAAGTATTTTACGTTTTGCCAGTTTAGTGGCTAATTCGTACGAATTCGTACAAGTTCAGTCGTACGAAATGGTACGATTTTTAAAAGGAGGCGTGGCACCTGACCCCACCCCTAACCCCAACCGTCATTGGGGGATAAGCAAATCATACTAAATTGTACGAATTAGATCGTACAAATTCATACGAATTAGCCACTAAATGAAAAAGTTACGAATTGCCGTGAGATTGTGTTGGGAAAGCAGGCTACATTGAATAGCGCTATTTACTTATGTTTTGTTGCTAAATTAAATAAAAATCTACATTATCGATGCTGGAAAAGGTCCCTTATTAAACTAATGTATCGCTGGAAGATTTCGGTGGCTGAACAACACTTCAGTGCATATAACCCATTCGTAACATATATAACAAAATCTACATCAGCTTTGCATGACTTAAAGAGTTTTAACACAAACAGAACATTACCTATCAAACATAATGGTGTCATCCTTTCTCCAGCATGGAAAAGTAACTCCAATATTGATTCAGTATTTTAAACAGTTTTGAAACAGCAAAGTTTTTACTGCTGTGATCTCGTGTGCACATGAACGTGTGCACACGCTAATGGCGGATCTGCGTGTGCAAATCTACATTTGTTGATAGACACTTTGGGCTACATATCAGAATTATGGGAAATGTCAGCCTGAGACTATTTAATTGGATGAACATTTTTAAGTTTAAACTTATTTTACTATTGGAATGTGAAGAGACTTTCCACCAGCACAACAAAAAATGTTTCCAAATACAATCACCTTCTGCACATTTAACTTAATCAATTTGTGTTGGGAACACATGAAGGAATTGTGTGGAACCCAGCAGTTTTTACAGTGTACTAATAAACTGCTGATCTCCACCTGTTTAAAATCATCGCGCAGAGAATGCAGAAAACAAAAGACTTTTAAAACAATTTAAATAAATTAATATTTGGAATTTAAAAAAATGGAGTCTCCCTGCTGCCGGCGAAGCGTGATCGTGCTGTTCCTGGTCAAAGGGCTGGCCTACATCGAGAGGCAGAGATAGAGCTGGTTAACGTTTAACCTCGCCGGCTTGTAAAGCAGCCCCAGGACAGTGAACCTTTGGAGTTTGATATGATGTGATTACAGAATCACCCCAGTGACACGTTGCCAAATTCAGCAGAATGAGGGTCTGAGTCTTCCGGGTGGTGATCTCTGAAATTGCTCAGGTAAGTCGCCTTTTTAATAACAATTTGGTGTCTTGTCAGTGTCAAAAAATAAAAACTGTGCTCATCCATATGGCACTGTTGTCTTGCTTTTAACTGCACTATTACTCATTTATAAAATAATTCACAGCATGATTGCAAAGACAATGTTTATATAAACTACACAAGGGGTCATCAACAAGTTATACATGTTAATTTGACTATTACAGATGATTATTCGCATGGCAGATATGTTGTCATGCTTTATCAGTGGTTATAATGCTAAAATGAGCCGCTCGTCATCTCTAAGCTTTCTCCAACTGTTAAAATTTGACATTTACACATGCACATGGGAATTTTTGTAAAGATGTAAGACGTTAAACTGTAACGCAAACTCAGCTAATCACTGCTGTTATTGAAATGCTTTAGCATATGGCATTTCAAAATGCGGTACTCATTGAACACCACCATAGTGACTAAATACACAGCATCAACATTAAGCAAATTCATCTGCTGCATCATTGTATATACACTTAAGGGGTAAAGAGCTGCAAAAATTTAACTTTGATATCCAATTACAGTTTTACACCTTCATTCTGAGGCTATGTGTTTGGTTGGAGTGTGAGGTTTAAAACAAATATCATGTGTTTTATGCTATTAAAAGCAGTGTCAGGGACAAATATAATATGCGATTGAAGTGCAATTACAAAATACTATATTCCCCGCACCTGTGTTGCACTTTCTGTCCAGCACAATGGCCTTCAGAACGTGTGTATTTAGCTTCAGTCAACATGCGCTGAAAAGCAGCCAGTGATCCAGGCATGATAAGAGCACGTCTAGTTATCTTGTTTATGCAAACGGTTACCAGGCTGTCCAGAAGAGAGCAATGGATGGACAGCAGACTAATGGAGTCCTCTCCCAACTGTCTTTAAAAGCGTTCTCTTTAATGGATATTACTAATGCTCGGCCATCACTCTTGTGTCCCTGAAGTGTCAGGATCATTTGTGACCCCTACTATTAAAGATTGTTGGTCACTTGCACTGCATGGGTTTAATAAAAGGCAACATTTCAGTAGATCGTGCTTTATTAGCATCTCACTCAGTAAAGTACATTCAGTCTGAAGAAACTCTGTGTCCTTTGCGTTTGCGTAAGCTATTGAATTTGCAAAGGCAAACACATTAGCGCTGTCATTGCTAGCGAGATGCGTTGCATTGTAGAATGCAACTGAATAGAATGGCAAATTCAAAGGAGCTTACAGACTCTCAGGGCATCGTGATCCTGCTTTTTTTTAAGATCACCATGGAAATCCTCGCTTGCTGAATGTACTACGTATATAAAAAAAGTATATTTTCATTACTAAGTGGGTCTTTTATGTGTGAAATCTAGTAGTATAATTTCATAAGGTTAGGCTGCACTAAAAAGGTGTGTAAAATAAAAAAAATATTATGTATTTAGCATCAGGTCAGGACAGTATTTTATTCATAAAGCAGATGTAAATATAGCATGACAGCAGACTAAAATTAATTTTACATTCATTCATTTTCATTTGGCTTAGTCTCTATTTCAGAGGTCGCCACAGCGGAATGAACCGACAACTATTCCAGCATATATTAAACACAGCGGATGCCCTTCCAACCCAGTACTAGGCAAAAACGCTGTACATGTAATCCTAAAAAAGACAGGTCAGATACTCTAACAACAGTTACAAGACACCTACTGTATTATTATAACCTATTATTTATTTACCTTCAGCTTAGTCCCTTTATTTATCATGGGTCGCCACAGCGGAATGAACCGCCAACATATTCAGCATATGTTTTACGCAGCGGATGCCCTTCCAGACACAACACAGCACTGGGAAACACCCACACACTCTCGTATACACACAAATACGGTCTATTTAGCTTATACAATTCAGCAATACTGCATTCTTTGCACTCTGGGGGAAAACGGAGCACCCAAAGGAAATCCAACACCAACACGGGGAGAACATGCAAACTCTGCACGGAAATGCCAACTGACCTAGTAGCCGGGGTTTAAACCAGTGACCTTCTTGCTGTGAGGTGACAGAGCTAACCACTGAGCCACCATGCCGCCCTAAGCTATCATCAATGGAGAATAAATGATTGATGTATTAAGACAAGACTCAGACAAAGTGAAAGCCAATCTAATTTCTGTCATTCCAGTTCAGAGGTTTGATTTCCCCTCGATTTTACATGAGATCTGGGTATTTGAAGGAGTTTAGATTCAGCTCTAAAAACTGTCAAACAGAATGTTACACCACATATAGTCTAGCTAACAGCTTGGGTTTGTCTTTTTTGAGCCACTTATAGAGAGAGAGTGATCATGGTATCACCATTGCTGTCATGATTGCATGCAGATGCTGTAGTGCTTCAGAAAAAGGCTAGCAGTCTTGCCACCTTTGACCTCTATTCTGTACTCACACTGCTTTGTTGTCTTCAGCATCTCCCTTTGATCAAGTGAAGCTGAAAAAAGACAAAGACAAATAGACACTCCACTGATGATTTTAAAGACCCGTGGCTGTGCGATTCAATCACGCTTGATAGCACTTCATCTCGAAAACAGCATAATCACAAAGGAGATCTTGTTAATAATAGATCGAGATAAATGGAGATTTTTTTTTGCTTACTTTTTGGTTAAGTCTACTGCTTGCCCAATTTTGGTCAGAAGTGCATCTCAGTCATGGCTTACTATGCTATATTTGCCTAATTGGCAAAGTCTGCAAATAAAGACAATATATTGTGATGTGAACTTGCTACCCTTAAACTAAAGGGACAGTTCACCCAACACTAAAAACTCACCCTCAGTCTATTGAAGATGTACTGTAGGTGACTTTTTCTTCAGTATAGCATAGAAGTCTTTGTGTACCAGATTTATTTATGTGCAACTAAAACAGAATACTGAGTAGGGGGCGGGGTTTTTTTCATTTCGTCATAGCAAACTAACGGTAAAGGGTTAAGTATATGGTGGGACCGCCACTCCAATTGTTAAAGCAAACGGTCAGACTTTGATTGAAACAACATAGGCTCATTCTAAAAACGTAGCCCTATATACATTTCTGGAGATCACGAATAATGTAGCCAGAAGTATATATGTCTGAATTTCTTCTTTAAAACAAACACTACGGGGCAGTATGATGTCGTTCCTTATTTATAGACAGCTTTTCTGCTGTTACCAGTTTGTCCGGTAGCTCGATACATATGCCGGCAGACTTGAAACACAGAGCAATGACAGGGTTCGGGTCCAGTGAAGAACGGATCCAGAAAGCAGGTAAGACAAAAGCCAAAAAATTAAATAAACAAGTAAATAACAGGGAGAGAATGTGGTAAAATCCAGGCTGCTGCAAGGGCTTTTCTTTTTCTGGATTGCTTTAAAAAACACTGCGATTGGGTTTAGGGATGGAGGTGGGCGGGTCAATCTGTGCTTTTGAAAACACTATTGGTTGGGTTTATGAAAGGTGGGAGGGTAAGGGGATCGATCAATCGGTCAGTCAGTCAGCAGCCTCTGGTGGATTTACATGAGAATAGCAGGTGTGAATGGCACTCACGAGACAAAATTGAGATCTGAAAAAGCGTACACAGCGGCCTCTGTCAGATTCGCGAAAACAAAAACTGCAAAAAAAAAAAAAAAAACATAGCTCCTGGATTTTGCTCTCTCCAGAAATGTACTGTATATAGGGGAACATAATCAGAATGAGCCTGGTTGAATTGAAGATTACCAAAACAAAAAAACATTTCTTAAAAGAATTAACACGCACTGATTAATTATTCACCTAAAGAATAACAATGTGTGCTAGCAAAATAAACACCCTTTCACACCTTAAAAGAAGATTTTAGCTGAATACGGGGTTTTTGGTGAATCAAATACTGCAATTCAATGGTCATTTGGTCACCTATTTTTGAGATTAAATGTAAACACATAAAAACAAGTCCAAATCAATCCCTGTGGCTCCTGATGTTACACTGAGCAAAAGGACCTGTCTTTCAAGATACTGAACATTATTTAAAATATTATTCGCTGTAATCTATATCCTAAATAAACAGTTCTTGGCGACCGGCAACTTGCACTCACTACACTTTGATTAAAGGTAATAATATTGTAAATAATGTTCAAATTATTGCACAGACCAGTCATTTAGCATCATAAGACCTCCATATGCCATTAGTAGCCACGAGGATTGATTTGAACGGTCTCACTTTATATTAAGTGGCCTTAACTAATATGTACTTACACAGGAATTTATAGTTTGTTACAATGTACTTATTGTGTAAATACATGTATTTATTGTGTACTTATGCCTGATTAAATACCTGTATGTAATTACATCTGTAATTAACTTCTGTAACTACATTTGTAAATACACTGTTGACCATCCCTTACACTTTAACCCACCCTTAAACCTACCCATACCACCAAACCTGTCCATAACCCAACCTCTATCCCAACTCAAGAGCACCACAAGTGTTCTCAAATACATTATGAACACAGTAAGTACATTGTATTTATTTTTTGATGCGAGTACATAGTAGTTAAGGACACTTCATATAAAGTGGGACTATTTGAACTTATTTGTAATTATTACTAATGTCAAAAATGGGAGACCATTGACTCGCATTATATAGTAATCCCAGATTCAGCTAAAAGTCTTCTTTAATTTGCTACCAGTGTTTAATGTTTGTTGCCCTGAGGGTCTGTAAATGAACTATACGTTTTTACTTTTTATGTTAAATATCCCTCAGTAAAAAATAAATGATCAGTGCTGCTGTCTACATTAATTTAGTTTCAAATTATTAAAATTCTAGATTTAAATAACAGCTTGCTGTAACTAAAAACTTTAAGGCGTAGTAAACAACATATTAGTTGGTCTTTAGACAAAATAACTCATCAAAATCTTCCTTTTGGATCCCACTACATAAAAAGTCTTCTACAGACATTCAAAAAATGTTTGAAATGCCATGAAAACAAGTAAATGATGGCTGAATCTTCTTTTGTCTGAACTATTCCTAAACCCTGAGTTATTTATACACTCTGAGCAGTCTTCTGATGTAAAAATAGTATAAAGACGAGAATTATTCAAGTTAAAACAAGGCATGAAAATAGGGCGGATGCAGATGTCCTCCTATTGATTGAACCATATGTGACTCAATGATTGTCTGCTGTTTTGATTCGCTCTCTTCAGTTAAATATTACACCGCGGTCCTTGACCCGGAGGTGAGGAAAATGTTTCTTTCCCCACTTTTCTTGCCAACACTGTCCAGCAGATAAAAAGCCAATATACAGTTTACCCAGAGCTTTCTTCATGCACTTCAAACTGACTATGATGAGACGTTGAAGTTGGTGATTAAATTTACAAAGTAACATGTTTATATCTAGACCAAATAACCTGATTCCTTGTCTGTTGAGCTTTCACAGTTGAAAATGTAAAGAAAAAATGGCAGAAAAAATATTGTTGGAATGGGTACGGTTAGGACATACAAACCTCTTACCTTTGAACCCATCCATGAGTCTAGGCTTATCACCATACTCGGCTTTAAAACAAGAGTACGCTATCTTTCCCTGTCATTTATGTGTGTTTGAACTTTGATTTAATTTCAGTGAGCACCCCTAATTTTGCTGATTTATTGCTGATAATCACTCACAATGGAAACCAATCAAAAATGTGGGGATGGACTGACTGGCACGCAGAAAGAAGCTGCGCTGCGAGCTCTTATCCAGCGCACTGGATATCACATACACCAGGTAGGAATTACCCCAGCTTTAGGTAAATGAACAGGTGCCAATGTGGGATAATGGAATATGAACATATCTTACCTTGACTTTTACTTAAAAAAATCTGGGACTGTAAATCCATAACAAACGGAGGCCCATAAGATCCATTTTGTTTAATTATAGGGAATATTCTGACTGTTTATCTGTCTTGTTATCTTTAGCAGCTTTAAGTGTGTTGTGTAGTGGCACCCTCATGTGGCAAAGATAGAAAATCTCTTTGCCATCTGCAAACAAATGAAACATAAGGATCAGTAGAATGATTTGCCTTGTCATCTATAGTATCAACATATCATTTATCGCTATCTTTTATGACTGTACCTTCTGGTCATCTCAGTGTATTTATTAACTTGTATTATAGAGTCATCACAGTTGTTTCCTCCTCAGGAAAATGGCCAGAGGAGATACGGTGGCCCACCTCCTGGATGGGAAGGCTCACCTCCCGAAAGAGGCAGTGAGATTTTTGTGGGAAAGCTTCCTCGAGACCTCTTTGAGGATGAGCTGGTGCCACTCTGTGAAAAAGTATGAAGAAAACTGGTGAACAGAAAATAAATTTCAGAATAATATTCTAAAATATTTAAAATAAATGTCTTTTAAAAGTCTTTTAAATGTACTGTAAAAGCCGTTTACCCAAACGGAAGCCTGTTCCCACGTCATGATTTTGCCAAGTACGATGGATTAACATCTATATTGATCTTTAAACATCATTTTGTTCGAACATGTAATCCATGCCTATTCCCTACCCCTAAACCCAAACATAACTGTAAATTATTCCCAAATTCAAAGGGGAATAATAGCAGGATAACAATCATATAGAAGTGCATAAGCCTAAACATAACCCTAAACTTAACATAAACAATAAAGGTATCTCTTAATTCTGATTGGCTGATTGTAATGTTGGATCAACATAGATATTAATCCAGAAACAAGTCCTACTTGGTGAAATTAGGTTGGTGGTTCCCACCCCATCTAAAAAATAAACAGGGCCACATATCTTCCAAATTGCAATGCATTGTTTCAACTCAAATTTGGATAAAGCAAAATATTAGATTACATTATATTAAAATTTGAAAGAAACTGCTGGGTACGTTCATATTTAAGTGAAAACAGGCTTCCTAAGACATTTGAATGCAGTGAATTTATAGTTACACTTACCTTTCTTTACAGTTTGGCAAAATTTACGAAGTACGGATGATGATGGACTTCAATGGCAACAATCGAGGCTATGCATTCGTTACCTTCTCCACAAAACAAGAAGCTAAGAATGCCATGAAACAGCTCAACAACTATGAAATCCGGTGAGTCATTGGATATCTACAGTAGTTGAAAAAGCATTTTCTGACCAGAAAACTGACAGTTCTCACACATCTTCATGCAGGAATGGAAGGCTTCTGGGCGTGTGTGCAAGTGTAGACAACTGTCGTCTATTTGTGGGTGGTATTCCAAAAACCAAAAAGAGAGAAGAGATCCTGGCAGAGATGAAGAAAGTGACGGATGGTGTCTTGGATGTCATCGTTTACCCAAGTGCTGCTGACAAGGCCAAGAACCGAGGTTTTGCATTTGTGGAATATGAGACCCACAGAGCTGCCGCCATGGCCAGGAGGAAACTGCTCCCAGGTGAAACAAAAATACAAACAAAAAAATGTTCAACTCCATTTGATATTATCCTAGTTTTCTTGCCCAGAAAGCACTTCCACGTCTGTTCCCAATGTACTGACACATTTCAAGGCAATTATCAGTTTCCAGAACAAGGCATGGTTTTATTGATTTCCCTCAGGCTGAACTCATGTTGGGTCCAAAGATACTTAGTTCATTGCCCAGAAGAGATGAGTGAGAGATAAAAAAGACCAGCCACCAACACCATTTTTTCTTCTCTTTCCAGGAAGGATTCAGCTGTGGGGTCATCCTATTGCAGTCGACTGGGCTGAACCTGAAGTGGAGGTAGACGAGGACACCATGGCCACAGTGAAGATTCTCTATGTTCGTAATCTGATGTTGCCCACCACAGAGGAGACTATTGAAAAAGAGTTCAATAGCATCAAACCTGGTGAGTTGCCAAAAATGTTTAATATTCTGGACAAAAACATTTAATATTATGATCTTGTTAACGCTCAGGACAGACCTTTAATGCAAGTGTTTAGAACTTTTTACACTCATTCAATAAACTGCCAGGTGAAAATAGGTAGGTGTGAAAGACCTCAAAATGTAAAGAAGACCCTTCTTCTCTAATATGCAGTATGATTTGAGGTGTTACAACAAGGTTGTGCATTCAAGTTTATTACTTCTAGGAACAGTTCACCCAAAGCCAATCCCAATTCTACCCCTTAGCCCTTCCCCTTGTTTTGTGGATTCACGTGAAGGGGTAGGAGTGTCCCAATTCTCTATAGCTTGAAGGCGTAGGGCTAAGGCAGGGGTGTCCAAACTCGGCCCTGGAGGGCCGGTGTCCTGCATATTTTAGTTCCAACCCCAATTAAACACACCTGAAATAGCTAATCAAGCTCTTTCTAGGTGTACTAGAAACTTCCAGGCTGGTGTGTTAGAGGAAGTTGGAGCTAAACTATGCAGGACACCAGCCCTCCAGGACCGAGTTTGGACACACCTGGGCCAAGGGGAATTGTTAAATAGCTCTTAAAACTGAGATTTTTCAGGACCACACTTGAAAGCAAGGGTAAACCATTGCTCTTAAAAATGAGCATTGGCCACCCCTCCAGTATGTGTCTACAAAAATCGACATATCTCATTTTTATCCTAGTAATAATTTTAAACAGTCTGTGTAGGTTAGAAATGACATAATAGTGAGAAAAATGTTAGTGAACTATGCTGTTTAAGTCTCAGTTGAAAACTCTAACTCAATTTTAAAAAGTATTTATGATGCTCTTACCTATGCAAAATACCTAAAACTACTTGTTTCTGAATGTAAAATAATAATATTCTATATAGATTTATACTATAAAGAACGCAAATACTAAGACTAGTATTGCTAATCTACAGGTGCTGTTGAACGTGTGAAGAAGATCCGAGATTACGCATTTGTTCATTTCTCTCAAAGAGAAGACGCCATCAATGCCATGAATGCACTGAATGGAAAGGTGAGGCACCACTTATTAGCCATTTTTCCACTCTCAGGCCAAAAGCCAAGCATGTTTCTGCATGTCAGAGCCAGTCATGTTTGCACAGCACTTCCAAGGCTTTAACAGATCTTGATGAGTCTTCCTTGAGACCAAAATCCAGTGAGGTTTGGCTCACTAAATACCTTAGTCCATAGCGGGCTATAGTGTGGCTTTTGAAGTGGTGATGAAAACAAGGTCAAGTTTACCTGTTTACGGAGAATCTACGCATTGCATCCCATTGGCCAGTGTTTTCAAATCAGGTTACCAGGTCACATAAAATTTGAATACAAGTTTAATACAGCAAGGGGAATTAAGGGTGGTGTTGTTTGGGCAGCTCAAGCCCGAGAACAAAAACTGAAGTCACAAAAACAAGAAAGGGTGCAAGTCAGAACACATACAGTATTTCTGCAAACAATATGGATTATAAGATTATCAGACATATTACCACAGGCATATCCTACTGTGGTTTGCTTTCGGCTTCTATGTGTTCAGCACTAGTTCCATTTTCCCTTTGTAGAATGACAAACTACTGCCACCTGCAGGTTATGGTAAAGAACATCCTCCCTCACAGGTACAAAACACACATTACAGTTTGTCAGTTGTGTTTTTTTTGGCCCAGCAGCCACATCTACTTACAGTATACTGTATGTGATGCTTAAGGCTACTTACTGTATGTGAACAACTGCCAGATAATATTGTGCTTATAAAAATACCAGATATGTTTGCAGAACTATGACTAATCTTGTCCCGGGAGAGAGCCCCGAGCTCAAGGGCTCCTCGAGCCCAGGGCTTCCTTCCGTTGGCAGAGCAAGAGGGGAGCCTGAGCTCGGTGGATCTCAGAACTCCCCTGCTGCGGTAGCTAAGGGAACACAAGGGATTAGACAAAGCTTGATTGTTATGTATGTTGAATGTCTTTGGATGGTGGGAGGAAACCGGAGAACCCGGGGAAAACCCACGCGGACACGAGGAGAACATACAAACTCCTCACAGAAACACCCACCGGTCCTGTGGAACCAGGGCTGGCAGTGTTCTTGCTGTGGGGCTCACAGTGCTAACCACTGGGCCGCCGTGCCGCCCAATCAGAGGTAAAGGAGGAGAATAGGGGAGGAGGGGGGTTTCTTCCAAACGAAGATAAAGTGAACTGAAAACTGTGGCTATTTATAGTAGCTTAGGGCTCATATGATTGGAAGATAGTGATTAGCAAATGCGAGACCGGCCGTGATAAATCATAAGCACGTGATCCTCTCGAAATTAGTTTATGAATAAACTTCACTTAGTGTAGCATTTATTTAGTCTTTTCCCAGAATTTGGACATCTATTTTTTTTCTTATTTTGCAATGTAGATAGAATGATGTGTTAAAGGTGGGTTTTAGAGTAAATCAGCTTTATGTTGGTACTGCCGCTCAATTAGCACCACATGGCTAACTGTTCGCATTGGATTGCACTGGCATGGCAGTGGAAAAAATGGTTAATCTAATCCTTAAAAAATAAAGGCAAAAATTAAACTCTGACTTCCCACCAGGTTATTGACGGTTCACCAATTGAAGTCACACTAGCCAAGCCCGTGGACAAGGACAGCTACGTGCGGTACACCCGAGGCACAGGGGGCCGTGGTGGTACTGTTCTCCAAGGAGACTATGCTTACACTGTGGGCCAGATGTACGATCCCTCAGCTGCTTACCTAGGAGCACCAATATTCTACGCCCCCCATGCATACGCAACAATCCCTAACCAGTTTCGCTTCCCCAGTACCAAGGGGCAAATGAGTACCAGGGGTCTTGTCCGGACACCCTCAGTGAGAGGTAATCTCATTCACTTACTGAAATCTGTTCCAGATGTGATTAAATATTTCACAATCACCTCCAACGAAATCCATTCTGAAACCGTCAATCAGGGTTTGAATTATCTATTTAAAAGTTTTAATGGACAATCATTCAATCATTCTGATCAATAATTACCAAAATATTTATTAAATGTATATATATGTATGTATATATATATAGGTGGTCCTCATGTGCATTTTGGCAGTAAAGCCGGTTCTGTAATCAGAAGTAAACCATTTACTACAGAGAGCCATAATTCATCCATAATTTGTAAAATCAACATGAAACATATTCTACATTTATAATAATACGGTATGTGAGGAAAAACACAACACAGGCTCATTCTGAAAACGTAGTCCCGTGGACGTTTCTGGAGACCGCGAATTATGTAGCCGGAGATCAGATGGCTGCATTTCTGTTTTTTAAGCGAACGATACGGGGCAGTATGATGCCGTTCCTATAGGGCTTACCGTCTGACCGGTTACATCTGTGTGGAGGGCTTTCCTGCCGCAACCAGTTTGTCCAGTTAGCTTGTCGTGTATGTCGGTGGACTTGAGATGCAGAGAGAAGACGATGACGATCGGGTTCGAGTCCGGGGAAGAGCGGTTCCAGAAATCAGGTAAGACAAAAACAGAATCCAAGAACCAAAAAGAACGATTGAACAACAGGGTGAGAATGTGGTGAAATCCAAAAACGTAGTAAATATCAGATGAGGGCTTTTCTTTTTTCTGGACGCCTTTTGTAAACCGTCAGTTGGGTTAAGGGAAGTGGGTGGGCGGGTCAATCGGTAAAATTGGTTGGGTTTAAGGAAGAAGTAGGGTCGGTCAGTCGGCTTGCCAGTTGCCCAGTCAATCATTCAGTTGGTTGACAGCGGCCTCTGGTGGGTTTATGCAAGAACAGCGCAGGTGCGAACGGCAGTCACGATACGAAACGACACGGCGTTTGAGATACGAAAAAGAGCACACATCGGCCTCTCGCGGATTGTGAAAAACAAAAGCTGCAAAAATAAGTACCTCCCGGGACGTATTTCCCGGTCTCCAGACACGTCCACGGGACTACGTTTTCAGAATGAGCCTGGGATGGAAAAACGATTGCTTTTATTAAAATAACATGCACTTGCAAACTATGTGCAATAACATCAGAAGTAAATTTGAGTGCATTTAAATTTCATGTTGACTTCAAAGAGACAGCTAGGCAAAAGACCTAGGGAACATGAAACATCTTTACATAATGTTTCCTTGTGGCAGTTAAAACATAATATTTGCATCTTCGTTTGCATGTGACTTAAAACACAATGTATTAAATAATATTGTTCTGGACAGTTTGTCTATCTGAATTTGTTATCCATGCCTGCATATTACAGTTCAGTGACAGTATATTGTTCTGAATGGATGGGGTCCAAAAATCAAGGGTATCAAATCATGATAAATACCAATCAGACGAAAGAATCAGAAATGCATCTTCTGTAATGTGCTGGCTTGGAATATCTCCATATGATGATCAGTTTCTCTTGATTGAAACCTGGGTGATTTCTGGTGATTTGATTCGACTTAATGCCTTCTTGCATTCCTAGAAATTTACATGAATGTACCTGTAGGGGCAGCGGGCGTACGTGGTTTGGGCGGGCGAGGATATCTTGCCTATGCAGGTGTGGGTCGCGGCTGTGGCACATACCAACTCAAGACAGACAAACGCCCCGACGACAAGCTCTATGACCTTCTTCCTGGCATGGAGCTCACGCCCATGAACCCAGTCACTCTGAAGCCCCAAGGCATCAAACACGCCCCACAGGTACACTCATACCCTCAGCGAAAACATCTATTGGTGATTAGAGAATATTTCTCCAAGGACCATTTTGCCTGGGTTTTTGCAGATCTTGGAAGATATTTGCCAAAAGAATAACTGGGGTCAACCTGTTTACCAGCTTCACTCTGCTATTGGACCAGATCAGAGGCAACTGTTCCTTTATAAAGTCACCATCCCTGCTCTTGCTACTCAATACCCAAATATGTAAGCCACAACCAAACCTACACCTTAAAAAACACTCATATTAACAGGGTCTCAAAACCTAGTGAGCTGCCTGCCTAGCTAGATTTTTAGGCATCTCAGTGTCGCTTGTAAAAAAATAATAACTCAGACTCATTGGAAATATGTGCTTCAGGCTACATTTTTGCAAAATGTAAAATACGCTGGTCTGGTTTCATTTCATTGCACATTTCACATGACAAATTCAGCACAGGGCAATGTTTACATTTTTGTGAATCTGAATTATATTATCTAGGGTGCGTTTTGTTGTATGTTTACCTAGTACACCACCTAGTAAACCACTAACTTAAACCCTTCCCTAAACCCAGTGCTTATTTTGTAAATCCATAATTTCTGTTATTTTATGTTATTTTCTTGTATACATTTTATTTTTATGCATTATATTGTTCTAAACTACTAATAAAACTACTAAGGCGAAGCAGTGGCGCAGTAGGTAGTGCTGTCGCCTCACAGCAAGAATGTCGCTGGTTCGAGCCTCGGCTCAGTTGGTGTTTCTGTGTGGAGTTTGCATGTTCTCCCTGCGTTCGCGTGGGTTTCCTCTGGGTGCTCCGGTTTCCCCCACAGTCCAAAGACATGCGGTACAGGGGAATTGGGTAGGCTAAATTGTCTGTAGTGTATGAGTGTGTGTGTGTGTGTGAATGTGAGATGTGATGCGGCTGGAAAGGCATCCACTGCGTAAAAACTTGCTGGATGAGTTGGCGGTTTGTTCTGCTGTGGTGACCCCGGATTAAAAAAAGGGACTACGCCGAGAAGAAAATGAATGAATGAATAAAACTACTGATTAAATTTTCAGCATCAACAGTTGAGCCATAATGCAATGTAAAAGCTTACATAGCCCTGAATCACAAAATATGTGAAACTGTTAATTAACATCTTTGTTTTACAGTGTAACGTGCTGTGTTGTTTTCACAGATTTGTGTGAAAATAGTTTGTTTTTACAGTGGTGTAATAAATACACAAAACTTTTCAAATGTGCAAATATCAAAACTACATTTTCTTGTATAAACATGACCATGAACTCAAAAGGTTTTGAGACTCTAAACATTTTAGTCAGACTCAAGACATAGCGATACAAAATCTCCTAGCTTCTTAAATATAAACCTAAATCACTCAACTGAATACACAATATATTCCCATATAATAAGCTAATTTGTTTACCACTGTTCTAACCTCTCGTCAGACACCCGTTCACCCCTGCCAAACTCTGTGCATCGATGGATGAGGCAAAACTGCACGCAGCCGAGCACACGCTGCAGATCCTCGGTGTTCAGACAGAGGGTGCTGACGCCTCTGCTGCTGCGGCTGTTGCTGCTGCATTCCCAGGTATGTAAGGTCTGTAAGGCTAATATTTATTATTTTACTGTAATCCAACTGCTGTTATAATGATATATATTACTCCCAACCACAAAGGAACTTAAGGTCCCTTCACACCGAGAACAAGAGCATAAGAATGTAACCCTGGACCAAAAAACAATCATGGGTATTATTGGCACCAGACAAAACATATTTTATAAAATTATAGATTTTTCTTTTATGTCAAAATTCATTAGAATCATTGAATTGAGATCATGTTCCATGAAAATTTATTAAATTTGCTACTGTAAATATATCAAAACTCAATTGTTGATTAGTAATGTGCATTATAAGCAATTAATTTAGACAACTTTAAAGGTTATTTTCAAAGTATCTAGATTTTTTTAACTCTCAGATTGAACATTGTGTCAAATAATGTCCGATTAACATAACACATTAATAGAAAGCTTATTCATTCAACTTTCAGAATGTATAAATCTAAAAATACTGACACTTACAGTTTAAGGTTTTGTGTATTTATCGATCTATATAATATTTATATTTAGGGCTGTGTGATTCGTGTTAGATTCGCAATTTGAAATGTTGCGATTAGTTAATCGCAAGAGGCTGCAATATGAAATATTCCCCACAACATCCTACGTCAAGAAAACCGTGCCGAAATTGTGTGATCTGACCAGTGATTTATAACTAGTTAACTGTGCGAGCACACTTTCTTTCTGCCCAATCAGAATTGCGCAACTGATATACGCCCACACAAAAAAAAATAAATGAAAACAAACGGAAATGCACTGTCAAGTGAGATTATGGCGTCTGCTGCTTAAGAAGCATTAATAGATGAATTAATATCAAAGAGAAACACCATTTGTAATATGGGAATATTTAGGATTTAAAGTCAAAAACACCAAACAAAAACAGGTCATTTTTAAGAGCTGTCGCAGAATTGTTGCCACGGCTTACAGATTATTAAACTGAAGCTTGAATGAAATTAAAATCAGCTTAAAGCTTGAATTAAATTGTAAACCAAATCACAAAAAAAAAAATAAAATAAATCGCAATTAGATATTTTTCCCAAATCACACAGCCCTATTTATATTATATTAATTTGTGTTATAGTATTATTTGATGTTTTATTTTATGATTCTTTTCTTGTACTACTTTGATTATTATCCTGCTTGAATATAGAGTTAAATAATTTTTAAGTAACAATGGTATAGATGAGAATGACTGTTTGTTAATTGAAGGTTTAATACAGGAGAGAGAGAGAGAGAGAGAGAGAGAGAGAGAGAGAGAGAGAGAGAGAGAGAGAGAGAGAGAGAGAGAGAGAGAGAGACATATTTACAACCTTGCAATGAGCAGGTGTCCTCAAAATACTGCATTGCCAGAGCATTTGACTAGTAAAACTAGTTGAATCTAACAGTGTCTAATCTAACAGTGAAACACTCAACAACTTCTCTTTTAACCCAAAGTCTTTACATTACTGGCTAGTGATTTTTGTTTTATTATTTTGACAATATAATTTAACAGTTATCATCCTAGGTGTAAAGGACCCATTAAAGGGCACCTATTTTACCCCTTTTACAAGATGCAAACCTTTTGTGTCCCCAGAACGTGTCTGTAAATTATCTAAATACCCATCAGATTATTTAGTATAGCCCCTAGAATCTGCCCATTTTGGTGTCTGAATACATTGTAGCTGTTTTTGAAGCCTATGGCTTTAAATGTAAATGAGCTGCTTCTCCTCATGCATGTCCGGCTTTCATCATGCGTTAACGCAGATAAACAGCACAGTGACAGGGACAGACTTGGATAAAGCTGAAATACAGCTCATTAGTCAAAAATATCAAGTATGTTTATTTTATGTATTGGTGGTAGAGATTATTCAAGTCTTTCTGAAATGATGAGTCCCACACAAATGCCTTTTACAGTACACACACACACACACACACACACACACACACACATATTAGCATTTACTGGCACCATGTGGCCATTGTGATTATAGCGGTTAAGAATTACATTGTGATTTTATTGTCCTTATTACAAACATGCACTGTTTTAAAAATGCTTTATAAACTTATAAAACTTAAAAATCACAGAAAATTGTAACAAATATATTATAATCCCAGTTTATTTGCAATATACGTGTACACATGTCATTATAGAAATCTGAAGCCTGTCAATCAATTCGGTGGGCGGGGAAAACTGCCCTTACACCACATTGAGGTGGGCCTCAAAAACACTGGGATTTGAGTCCTATTTTAACGTCAGGAAATATTTAAAAAGAGACTTGTTGGGTTTCTATCACTCCAATATGACAGTGGATACACTATATACATACACAGTTCTGTCTAAACAACTTACAAAAGTTGATTTCCTTCATAGGTGCCCTTTAACATTTTATTCAAATTAATTTATTTATAATGAGCCCTAAGCATGTTCTCACTCTCTCTCTCTCTCTTTTTGCTGTTTCCACAGGTTATGCAATTGCCAGCACCACTGGCACTCAGCTGAAACAGGCCGTTTCGTTGGGTCAGGATTTGACTGCCTATGCAACCTATGAGGGTTACCCTGCTTTTGCTGTGGCAGCCCGTGGCGATGGATATGGAGTGTTTTAAAAGAACTAACAGTCTCTGTAGTGTTGATGTTAATCTGTTCCACATGTTCGACTGTGTTTATAGGCTTAGTAGTTATTTTTTGTTTCTCTTCCCAAGTGTATTTTTTTTTTTTTAGCATTTTTGCAATATTTAGATTGTAAGTCATCTTTTGACTTTACTCAGGAAGAGGGTGGCCTGAAGGCTGTCCACAAATCAATCCCAACCCCCCCCCCCCTCCCCCCATCGTGATCCTCCATCCAATTTGATCATTGATTTTTTTTAATGTATAAATTACAGAAATTTAGGCTGGACCGATGTTCAAGGCTCTGAGTGATTATCTTTAAAACAGAATAATTTATTTCATTTTAAAGGGGACCTAATATGCAAAAATCACTTTTATAAGGGGTTTAAACTAGGGCTGCACGAAATTGGAAAAATGCGATATCCAGGGCCGATTTTAGGACATTCATTTTAGAGGGGCTCAGCTCCTTATGAGGTAAACATTTACATTTATAAGTGATAATTTAATAATAATGCATTTAAAAATGTTTGACTAATATGGTAAGGTTGTATGCTAAACTAGCACTCTATTGTACAGACAGGCATAGCAATTTGAATTCTGAATGAGCCAAATAGGCTCAACAAACCTATTTACTGCAGTACAGTGTATTAAATAAATATTTAATTAAATAAATATTATTAAATAAATAAATGTTTTCATGTATTAACTAAATAAAACTGCCAATTTTCTAATTAAATGGCATAAATACAAAATATTTTTTTAAACCTACAGGCTAATTCACACATTTAACAACCTGAATTATTATAATAAATAATAATGTAAGACAACACATGACGTTTCTAATCTATCTCTGTTAGTGACCCTGACAGTTAAAATGAGTACATTCACTAAGTGGTTCTGTCACTGTTTAATATTTTCTGTGCATGACTGTATAGTATAGACTAGTTAATGCCACATGCACTGTGATGTGTTTTTTTATTCATAGTTTGTTTTGAAATAAAAACGGCGAAATGTTCGTTAAGAGTTACATTTTCGCTGGAGGAGATGAGCACTGAGGAAACAGTAGATGGGAAACCCGATTGCTAAGGTGATCGATAAACACACCTTGTTCTCTCGCTCTGCACGGCTGTGGAGGAGCCAAATTCTGCCGCTGTTTTCATATCAAATTTAAAGGGGACTGAGGCGATAATTTAGTGTACAGTTAATGAGCTAATCGCAAAAGTTTTAGGGGGGCTGAGTAGAAATATAGGGGGGCTACAGCCCGCCTAAAATAGGCCTAGCAACGCCCATCGCAATATCTTATTTGTTTGCCGGATTTTCTGAGTCTAATAGTATTCAGTTACAGAAATTGAATAATGACAAATGCTTTTCTGTGACTCATTTCTAGTCCAAATATCAAAAAAAAAAATTTTTTTTAATATTATTTGTTTCACCTTCAGAAGAAATAAGTCAAAATTAAGAGTAATTGCTTAAAACAAGCAAAATTATCTGTGAGTGGTTAAGTAAAATGATCTAATTTTCGCTTTGAAATTCTTTTTTTTATTCATAAATCATATTAATTATGTACAAATACAGTAATTAAATGTAATTTTGTGGCTCCTGGTCAACTATAATCAAGACTCATTGCATATCTTGTGATGTAACACTTGCAGATGTGCACATTGCAATATCGATGCTGAAACATTATATTGTGCAGCCCTAGTTTAAACAATTATGTAGCAACAGTGTGTGAATATACAAAGCCTCTAATGGAAAACAAAATACTATATTTTTTATAATCAAACTTCATAAAAACAGTCTACAGAAACACTTTGATCGACATTCCCACGTGCCCATTGGTGACGATCTCTTCCTCATTAGCATAGACAGCCCTGAGTGAGTAGCAGCCATCCTCCTCTTGAGTTTTACGATGCACAAATGAACACTATAATCTCCACAGACAACCTCTTTCTGAGCCACTTCTTTTGATATTTTCAGTTTTTAACTGATAACCTGGTTTGAATCTGCCACTATGCTGACGCACAGGCATTTGTGGCTCCGCCTTCTTTTAAATAAAGGTGTGGGAGCACAATCTCATTCGAATTCAATGCGACAGTCACCAAAACAGCACAATTTGGATCAAAGCCTAAAAGAGGCAGTTTCAAAGAGTATAATTAATTTGTGCGGTATTTTGAGCTGAAACTTTACACAGTACTCTAGGGACACCGGAGACTTATATTACATTAATATTAAAAGAAGCATAATAGGTCTCCTTTAAAACACTAAGTAATATTCCATTGTGCTACGTGAAACATACTTTTTTCCCCAGACAATTACATTAGTAAGCTTTGGTATTAGGTTGTATTTAAAGTGGTTTGTTTTGTTTTTTTTGTGTTGGTTTTCTTTCAGTATTTCCATTTAAGTACAGACCGTTTTAACAGATGAAACCCTTTCAGAGTTTTTATGTATCTGGACATTATAGATATGGTTGAGACTTGTTTATTTAGTAGTTTTGCTATATTTTCTAAGATATTTCCAGGATTGCTACTAATATTTTCCCCACATCATGCATTTTGTATTTGGGGAAACATGAGAGCATTGTTAAAATACACATGGACACATTTTTTTGTTAAATATGAAGATGCCTTAAAGGTGACAGTATTAAAGTTTGTGAAGCACTTAGAACTTATTTTTATACCTGAATTCCAACTCTGTTTGTATGAACTTTGTTTTTCGATCACAGACTGTTTGAAATAATTTATTGTCAGTGATTGGCAAGGGAACTTGAGGGTGAACTGGACGGCATCGTCAGGACAAAAATAAGCTGAGAGCTTCATAGTGCTACAGAGTGGTGAAGAGTTGTGAAAATGTGATTATGGTAAATCAACTAACCATCAATAAATCAAATTTACTTGTAAAGACATGTCTGTTTTTTTCTTGCCATTTCTGACACAGGTCATGAAACCCTAAAACATATTAGCTTAGCACAGGGTTTTTCAAAGTCTAAGACAGTGGTCCTCCCTTTTGACACAACTTATCCATTGGCGCCCCCCTCCTCCCAAACACGCACGCACACACACACACACACACAAAAAATTCTGGAGGTTTTCCTGCTACCTCATCATGCTTGGTTTCAAGGTGTCGCCGAAGTTTAGCGGGTCTCATGCTGTCATTAGCCAAAATATTTTGACAAACCACACATAAAGGTCGTGGTTCATCAGCTGGTTCTGTCCACGTAAATCCTAAACTCAAAAACTGATCATCATAACGTCATCTTTTGGGTTTAAGCCCTGAACTTGAAGGCTTTGAATCGGGGGGTCTCAGAAATCGATCCATTGAATTAGCAGGCATATACCTGTATTGGCGGGCTTGCCAAACAGAAGCGAATTCACAGCTATGGCCTTCTGGGTAAAAAAGGTTTTCTTATTTTTGACTTATTATTTTTTTTAGCTTTGTTTAATTAAAACGTTTAAATATAACAAAAAATACATATAATAATTAAACTTAATAATTATATTTTTATTATATAATATTTTTCCCGCGCCTCCCCTGACATGCTCTGGCGCCCCCCAGGGGAAACGCGCCTCACACTTTGAAAACCCCTGGCTTAGCAGATATTATCATTAATGTGATAAGTCATTAACAATTATGTATTTAAAATATACACTCACCAGCCACTTTATTAGGTACACCTGTCCAACTGCTTGTTAACGCCAATTTCTAATCAGCCAATATGGCAGCAACTCAATGCATTTAGGCATGTAGACATGTCACATGGTCAAGATGATCTGCTGCAGTTCAAACCGAGCATCAGAATGGGAAAGGTGATTTAATTGACTTTGAACGTGGAATGGTTGTTGTTGCCAGACCGGCTGGTCAAAATATTTCAAAATAATTCTGCGGGCACAAAAGCCTGGTTAATGCCAGAGAACAGACAAAAATGGCCAGACTGGGTCGAGTTGATAGAAAGGCAAAAGTAGCTCAAATAATTCTTGACACCATTGGTACCAATTAAGCATGTGTCAACGCCACAGCCTACCTGAGAAGAGTTGTTGACCATGTCCATCCCTTTATGACCACAGTGTTCCCATCTTCTGATGGCTACTTTCAGCTGGATAACGTGCCATGTCAAAAATGCACAAATCATCTCAGACTGGTTTCTTGAACATGACGATGAGTTGACTGTACTCAAATGGCCTCCACAGTCACCAGATCTCAATCCAATAGAGCACCTTTGGGATGAGAACCCACAATATTACTACATAATCTGAGATTCGCATCATGGATGTTCAGCCGAAAAATCTGCAGCAACTGTGTGAAACTATCATGTCATTATAAAGCAAAGTCTCTGAGGAATATTTCCAGTGCTTCTTGAATCTATGCCATGAAGGATTAAGGCAGTTCTAAGGGCAAAAGGGGTTTAACCTGATACTAATAAGGTGTACCTAATAAAGTGGCCAGTAAGTGTATGTGCAGTTATAGAGTACAGGAATGTCTATCATAAATGGTCATAAAAACAAATCCTATTAATGTTTTTACTAGCATCAGTCATAATAACAACAAATTGAAGGAAATTTAAAAAAATATATATTTTTTATTTTTATTTGACTCTTAAACTGTTTACACACATACAGGCAACCATCAACGCTTCATGTTCAACTTTTACGTATTTTTCTGTAAATAACGCTAAAACTACTATTTTAGAGGGTAGACTAATTTACATACAGTACGCTTACCTGTCCAACAGCAACAAGGCCAACTCAGGATTTTCTTCGTCACTGTTTTCACTGTGTTAGCGCAGAGCTTTGTCGATTTTTCAGATGTCAGACCATTATGGTTTCGTCAGATGTAGTTACTGATTGTCTTTTGGCTTACTTGTAAATAGTGTTAATAAGTGTTACTAATTGCTACTTTTAAAGCACTTCATGAAACTTCAAAATCTTTACGTATTATTTGTTTGAATCGTTTGGTTTCAGAGCGCGCATCAAATATGATCACGTGATTTTAAACAAGGCTTCCTTAAGTTAGCCTGTTGTTAATTAATAAAATTGCAACTTTGGAGTTTATATTTTATTAAATGGCATAAAAGCGTGTTGTTTTAATCCATAATAACATACCTCAAGTTATTATTATTTAAATAGCGTTACCATGGATCTTTTGGAATTCTCTGTTGGACGGTTGGAATGTTTGAAAGTTCTCTCCTTGACATCCAACCACAACGGTGAGTTACACGGTCACGCCAGGCCGATAAATTAACGCAGTAAATTGAATTAAGAAATGATTAATTAATCGTATGAATGTCGCAAACAAATATTAAAGCGCTGAGAGAATTGAGAAAACATCGTACGGGTCCCTCCTAAAGGATTCTACTTTTTATGTTGAGTCACCTCGGTGACATCACTGGGCTCTACAGGAAAAGTCAGTCACTACACACTCGATCAACTCGCATGATTAATTCATAATCTCAATGTAACCTATTGAATAAGCACCTATTCGACATTTTGCATGTCCTTCTAACCATTTCTGATATATTGTTCTGTTTGTTGTGCATCTATGCTGCTGTTTGAGTCTCTTCAGTGACAACAGGCAGAAATGTTGCTACATACAGAGTAATTACGAAGGTAAATTCAGTTATCCGTATTCATCCTGCATAAATGAAATGTAACATATGTATTGTGCATATATTTAATAATCAGGTTTCACTAAATAGTCTCTAATACTTATTTTGTCTGTTTGTGGTGCATCTATGATGCTGTTTGAGTATCTTCAATGACATCGGGCAAGAAAGGTAATCTGAATGTTACATAAATTCTGCATCTTTCTGATTGTCATGGTGCATGTCTTTCTAAACAAACTAATATGTTTATTCTCTGTTTGTTGTTGTGCATCTGTGCCACTGTTTGAGTCACTTCAATTGACTGCAGGCAGGAAAGGTCAGTAGCTGCACACTTAGAAATGAACACAGTAAATTCAATAACACACATTATTATTATGCCATAATCTGGATGATTATTTCCTTCTGAACAATCTCTACATTTACTGTATCTTCTCTGTTTGTTACTGCACATCTGGTAACGAGCAAGAAAGGTCAGTCACGACACACCAATAAATCAATAAGGTAAATTCAATAACCCACACTATTACTACATAATCTGAGTGTTATAAATACATTTAGCATATTTTAATTGACATTGTGCGTGTCTTTTTTTCTGTTTGTTGCTGTACATCTGTGATGATGCTGTTTGAGTCTCTTCAGTGACAACAAGCAAAAAAACTGGGCAACGATAAATGAACAGAGTAAATTTAAACACACATTATTCCACCATAATCTGAGTGTTACAAATACATTCAGCTTCTTTAATTGTCATTGTGCACCTCCTTCTGAAAAATCTCCAATATTTCTCTTCTCTGTTTCTTAATGTGCATCTGTGCTGCTTTTTGAGTCACCTCAATGACAACGAGTTGGGAAAGTCAGTCACTGCACACCAATAAAGTATTAGGTAAATTCAATAACTCACATTATTAACTCATAATCTCAATGTAACATAATAAATATGGACCTATTGAATCAACATTTTGCATGTCCTTCTGAACATTTCTAATATATTGTTCTGTTTGTTGTGCATCTGTGCTGCTGTTTGAGTCTCTTCTGTGACAACAGGTAGAAATGTCGCTACACACCAATTAATTATGAAGGTAAATTCAGTAATCCATATTTATGCTACATAAATAAATGTAGCATATGTATTCTGTATCTATTTAATAATCAGGTTTCACTAAATAGTCTCTAATACTTATTTTGTCTGTTTGTGGTGCATCTATGATGCTGTTTGAGTATCTTCAATGACAACGGGCAAGAAAGGTAATCTGAATCTTACACATAAATTCTGCATCTTTCTGATTGTCATGGTGCATGTCTTTCTAAACAAACTAATATGTTTATTCTCTGTTTGTTGTTGTGCATCTGTGCCACTGTTTGAGTCACTTCAATTGACAGCAGGCAGGAAAGGTCAGTAGCTGCACACTTATAAATGAACACAGTAAATTCAATAACACACATTATTATTATTATGCCATAATCTGGATGATTATTTCCTTCTGAACAATCTCTACATTTACTGTATCTTCTCTGTTTGTTACTGCACATCTGGTAACGAGCAAGAATGTTCAGTCAAGACACACCAATAAATGAATAAGGTAAATTCAATAACCCACACTATTACTACATAATCTGAGTGTTATAAATACATTTAGCATCTTTTTAATTGACATTGTGCGTGTCTTTTTTCTGTTTGTTGCTGTGCATCTGTGATGACGCTGTTTGAGTCTCTTCAGTGACAACAAGCAGAAAACTGGACAACAATAAATGAACAGGGTAAACTTAAACACACATTATTCCACCATAAGAGTGTTACAAATACATTCAGCTTCTTTAATTGTCATTGTGCACGTCCTTCTGAACAATCTCCAATGTGTATCTTCTCCTTTTCTTAATGTGCATCTGTGCTGCTTTTTGAGTCACCTCTATGACAACGAGCTGGAAAAGTCAGTCACTGCACACCGATAAAGTATTAGGTAAATTCAATAACTCACATTATTAACTCATAATCTCAATGTAACATAATAAATATGCACCTATTGAATCAACATTTTGCATGTCCTTCTGAACATTTCTAATATATTGTTCTGTTTGTTGTGCATCTGTGCTGCTGTTTGAGTCTCTTCTGTGACAAGAGGCAGAAATGTCACTACGCACCAATTAATTATGAAGGTAAATTGAGTTACCCATATTTATGCTACATAAATAAATATAACATATGTATTCTGCATCTATTTAATAATCAGGTTTCACTGTAGTCTCTAATACTTATTTTGTCTGATTGTGGTGCATCTATGATGCTGTTTGAGTATCTTCA